CACACAGGCTTTCTGGTAATTTGTAAAATTGGAGTTTAGGGCAAAAGTCAACCAACTTCTGCCTTTTGCATTATCTATATATCACATGCACAGTCACTGCCCAAACCCGCATCAATCCAATGGGGAACAACAGAAAGACCCTGGCTCATTTTGGTACAGACAAAGGAAAAGATGCAGGATGGGGATGCAGTTTGGTTAGTAGACTGATTGCAGAGTATCAGGTCCTGGGTTCTATTTTTGCACAAATAAATCTAGTTTTGTGGCAAGAGAATCAGGAGTCCAGGTTATTCTCAGCTACATAGTGAGGAAAAGGCCAATCCAGGCTAAGGGGAACTTGTCTTGAACAAAAGCAAAAATGAAAAACTCAAAAAAGAGATGGAGAACAGAAAAGGTATAGTAAAAAAATACAATTTATCTAATTTGAGTAGTTCATAAACTCTCTGGCTTCCCTTTCACATCTAACCTGAAACTGAAAGTGTATCGTCAACAGGATAAAAGGCCACTGCACTGCCTTCTGCAACACTTGCTTTTAGAAGAGACCAGAGACCCAGCCACCAAAGATCTGCTCAGGTACCTGACAACTCTGAACTCTGTCCTCTGAAGGGGAAGGCCTCTAAAGTTGAGGGGACCCTGAGAAAATCTGAGGGTTGCAGTGGGTGTCGCAAGGTGAGGTGGGGTGGTGGAGATTTATGACTCAAGGATTAAAGCCAGAAGGTCAGTTTTGGGCAAGAAATAGCCCATGTAGGGAGATGGAGTCAGATATATAAAGGAAGGACAGACATGAGGCTACCAATCTTTTTAGAGACTTAAAAATATGATGGGGCCCACACAATTTACCTCTCAGGACCTGTAGGAAGCAACTGGCATCCATGTACATGGTCTCTTACGTATATAGACTTTTCCCTTCCTATACTACCTTGATTTTTCAGAACAGAACAAGGATATGCTTAATTAATCCCATTTTCCTCCCAGCGCCACGCAAACATTAGCTTCTATCCTCTTCTTTGTTTTATTTATCAAGACAGGGTTTCTTCACTTATCCCTGGTTGTCCTGGAACTAGCCCTGTAGGCAAGGCTGTCCTTGAATTCATAGATCCACCTGTCTCTGCTTTCTGAGTGCTGGGATTAAAGCTGTGAACCACCACCATCAGGCTTTTGTTTGTTTCTGATGCCTGATCCAACATAATTTTTTTTTTTGGCTATTTTTGTCCATTTCATTGTAGCTATTTGTACATTATATCTTTTATTTGAAGAAGGGTATGACAATGGAGTCCTGGCTGGCCTGAAACTCACAAAGATCCACTAGCCTCTGTCTCCCAAGGGCTCAGTACCATCATTGTGCTGTCCAATCTATCCTGACATCAAGTTGAAGCAAATTGTTTGATGTCCTTGAGAGTAGTGATTGTGTGTAAGCAAAGATGTCAGTGAGCTCAGCTCTTATGAATTTCACAAAAATTAATAATTTTTGAAAGTTGAGGATGTACAGAAGGTGGGAACCTTCACTGCAGTGCTGAACTCCTAGGTCTGTTGTTTCTACAGTGCCCCCTAAAGGGTCAGGGCAGGAGAAGCCAAGCTGTGGAGGAGCTGGGAGTCCCAGCCTTCCCAAGAGCAACTAGTCAGTCACAGCATGCGGCTCCATTCTGCCATTCTCAAGGTGTGGGGAGAGGATTATCTGGCTGGACTAAGTCAAAATTCTGTAGACAGTAACACAACAGCTTAGATAAGTGTGGGGGGAGAGTTTTCATGATTTTCCAAAAGTCCTAGGCAAAAATGAAGTAGGCAACAAGGGTGACCTCCCTTCTTGTTCATTGACTTGCTGTTCAGTGTATATTTAGTATATCCACTCCTCAAAGAGTAGTGAAAACAATACATTCTCATAAGATACAACTAATAATAAGGCTGGTTGTGTTAGTCTGCTTCCTTCCTTTTTGTTTTTCTTTTCTTTTTTTTTGTGTGTGAATACATGCACATGTGTGGGCATATCTATTTGCATGGGCACATGCATGTGTGTGGGTACATGCATGTGGAAGTCAGAGGATAGTCTCTGGTGTCATTCCTCTGGCACTGTCCACCATTTTTTGTAAGGACAGGGTCTCTCACTGGCCTGCGACACACCAAGCAGGCTGGTCTGGCTGTCCAGTGAGTCTTGGGGATCTCAGGGACCAATCTCTCTCCACCACCTGGTGCTGGAATACAAGTGCCTGTCATCACACCTGCTTTTCCATGGGTTCTTAGATCAAACTCAGGTCTTTGTTTGCAAGGCAAGTTCTTTACCCCCTAACCTTTCTCCTCGGTTTGTGTTTATTACTATCACAAAATGCTTGATGCTGGAAAGTTTATAAAGTAAAGGTGCTTACTCAATTCACAGTCTGATAGCTGGAAAGTCTAAATATCATGAAAGTGCTGGCTAGTTAGGGCTTTCCTGGCTGAATCACAATCTTCTCTATCACAGTGTCAGAGAAGCCATTGCCATGTGCAGAAGGGAACACATGGCAAGAGAGGAAGCCAGAGAGGTTCTGGGCCAGACTGGCTCTTGCAGGGACTGGGTAGGATCCCACTTTCATTGTCTAATATTTGCTTGCAGATGTTCTTGAAGTTGAAGATGACTTCTCTTCTAGACTCAAAAGTTCACACGTTCCTCCTGACTTGGTTTTTCATCCAGCAGGTAATATTCTCAACCCACATCCTGTTGACCTTGCTTTCACCTGCCCACATCTTCCTGATATTACAGTGGCCAGGGTTGAGTCTGTGGCTAGAGGATGTTAGAGAGTATGAATCTTGAAGAAGTATTGTAAAGATAATATTAGTAAGGGGGGAGATTGTGTACGGATGATTATGAGCAATATATAATGATGTATGTATATGAAAATGTGATGATGACTCCTGTTATTTTGAATGCTGGTTAAAAAGAATTGAATAAGAAGAAAAACTGTAGTATCCATAAACACAAAAGAATCAGAGATCTCAGCCTTGCCTTTCTGCACCCCTCATAACATAATGAGACTGTGTCCATGCATGTGCCATGTGTGAGGTTGGAGTATGCAACATCTCATGCTGTCAGCTCCAGACAGCACCCAGCACATGCTTAGCACAAAACTTAGCAAGCTTATCTAGTAACAAAGAACCTACTTCTCTCTTTCAGGTGACAGGCCTGACTGAGCCTTCCAAACTGGACATGGCTCCCAATGCATTTGATGATCAGTATGAGGGCTGTGTTGAAGAAATGGAGAATAAAGCACCCCAGTTGTTACAAGAAGACTTCAACATGAATGAGCAATTAAAACTTGAGTGGGAAAAGGCAGAGAAAAGATGGAAGGAGATAAAAAATACAACGAGCAATCCCAAAGGTTTCCATGACTTCCACGGAACGGCTTTAGTGGCCTACACCGGAAAAATCCATGAAGGTTTTAACAGAGCTGTTAGAGAATTCAGGAAAAATCCCGGCAACTTCCATTACAAGGCCTTCCATTACTACTTAACAAGAGCCCTTCAGCTTCTGAGTAACCAGAGTTGTCACTCAGTTTACAGAGGCACCAGAAACAAGTTTCGTTACAGTGGGAAGGGCTCTGTGCGGTTTGGGCAGTTCGCTTCCTCCACTTCTGTTTGGCAAGTTGCTGTTTCTCCAGAATTTTTAAGTGAACATGGGACACTGTTTGACATCAAAACCTGCTTGGGGGTTGGTATAAAAACATTCTCCTTATTCCCTCATGAAGAGGAGGTATTAATTCCAGTCTATGAAGTATATCACAAAGTAACTGTAACACAAAATGCAAAAGGGTCTGACAAAATTTTCCTGGACTCCCCCAAAAGAAAGAAGAGCAACTTCAATTGCTACTATAGTGGATCTATTGAAGTCGACAGCGGTTTTATTGAAATAGACAACATTGATTTCAGCAGCTCAGGTGAGTCTGGGTCTGTGTTAGAGGTGGAGCTGGTGGGGACATCATGAAATGGAAGAGGGGGTGCTCCCTACCAGAAGACACCTGGTAGACCATGCAAATGGTGAGGTACCGAGAATGATGAAGGGTAGCTTTGGTAAAGCCAAGGGGCACATACGTCAGTGAAGGCGTATCAGAAATGATTCAACACAGTGAGGGACTTCAGGAAATGATATTACCAGGCCCAGCCCTGTGAGGAGTGAAAAGTGCCATCAGCGGGTATTTATCCTTTCAAACCAAAAATTCCCCGTGTTTGCAGTTCTCTATGACTGTATACCTATCATTGCGTGTGGTTTGGGTTCTCTCTTCATCCCTTGACCACATGTCTCATTCTATCCAAGCAAAGACACCATCAATTTTAGTTTGGTGATTACTTTTCAAGGCATAGTTCAAATATCACTTATCATAGTACTCCTTCCTTAATATTCCAGAGAAAATTACTATACCATGCTCTCTGTCATAGGTTTGGGGCTAGACTCCATGGTAATCTGGTTCAAACATCACTAGCTCTGTGACTCTTTGTAGCTGGAGGGCTTCTCTCCAGGTTCCTCAAGCCCCAAAGTCCCACAATCCACTTATAAAATAATCACTCAGACGCTTATATCACTTATAAACTGTATGGCCGTGGCAGGCTTCCTGCTAACTGTTCTTTTATCTTAAATTAACCCATTTTTATAAATCTATACCTTGCCACGTGGCTGGTGGCTTACCGGCGTTTACATGCTCTTCTCCTGGCCGTGGCTGCAGTGTCTCTCCTCCTTCTTCCTGTTTTCCCAATTCTCCTCTCTCTTTGTCCTGCCTATACTTCCTGCCTGGTCACTGGCCATCAGTGTTTTATTTATATAGAGTAATATCCACAGCACTTCCCCTTTCTTCTTTTTTTAAAAAGGAAGGTTTTAACTTTAACATGGTAAAATTACATATAACAAAACAATTACCGAGCAAGAATTATAGTTACAAT